GCTGCCCCCCCACCCAACAAAATTGCACATTTTCCCATATAATATAAAAACCCATAAAATGTTATCATTCCAATCATTAGAGCCATATCTGTCTAAAAAGCTCAAATAAATTTTTGAGATGTAACATTTACCAATTTTTCGCAACAGATTTCAACAGAAATTAACATGACCACTTAAGTAATACATGCATCATTTATACAAAAATGTGTTAATCCGCACAGTGTGTGTTTCACCTGAATGCGGGAAGGCCGCTGAACGCATACAACAGGCTCCAACTAATCCTGGGTTAAACAAGGAGTGAGATGCTTGCTGAACACGCAGGTAGGACCTGAAGACCAAGTATCCTGCTGGTCGCTGCATTTCTTGGCATGTAGTGGCTAGAGCCACCCGGTGGGCGAACCGTGAGCGTTCTACTGTCCACGGCACCTCGGCCTGGCGGCATCTCAACGGAACATTAATGAACGGAACTTAAAGAGAGAGAGAGAGAGAGAGAGAGAGACAGGCCATCCAATTACAACAGACAACGATGTCGGGGGGAGGGGGGGCAGGCAGCGATGAGACCACCTCTTAGCTTTCAGGCTGTCTCTCCTCCAAGTCCCTCACAGGTGGGACATAATTAGGGTGTAATTAACCCATCTGGCACAAGCAAACATAAGGCAGCTTTAAGTATACTTGGCTATATGGCACTCAAGCAAATTTTTTATAGGAGGATACTTGGCAAGATCCATTTGGGTTAGCAGCTCTGTCCAAAGGTACATCAGCAGTGTCCCTCTTGGGATTTAAATCCTGACAACCTTTGTCCACATCCTTAAGCATCAGAGAGTGGCAGGGGTGCCCTTAGAAGCCACTCCAACTCACCATGCGTGTCATTGTGTGTGAAAGCTTTTGGCGGGGTAGGGAATACACTCCCACCCCCCCCCCCCCCATCCCACTCCCCTGCTGAGGGATCTAGGAAGCCATGGGGCGTGTCGTAGACGAGCCAAATCTGATATGGAATCAGAAACTCCCGACAGAGAGGGCCGAAACTCAGGCGTTGGTGTCAGGGGGGGCGGCAATGAGTCAATTTGCATTTCTTTGAGGAATTAAATGCAAGTTTTCAACAAAAACCGGGGCAAGACTAACTGATCATGAGTCACCCAGATATACTGCAGTTCCAGGAGTGCTGACGGACGAGTGGGGAGGGAAATAATCGGTCCAAAAATTAAAAGCTGATATCACCTTAGCATTACTCACCGAAGAAGCCGCGGGACACGTCCACCGCTAGACTAAACACAAAATGCAGCTTCACACCCTAAACATGACCCTGGGGACAGGATGCCGGAGCCCCTGCACCTCACAGACTCCCAACTGTTGGTTCACACCACTCTCAGAAAGAAGTGCCATCTTAAAAAAAAAAGTTATCAGGTATGGGCTGAAAAAATACCAGAGCAGGTGTGAATCAAAAAAGACAGACATGCATTTGCTGCCCTTCACGGACAACTTACTCTGCAAAGAGCAAGTTGAGGGAGGTGTAAAAACAATTTCCCCACGGGGATCAATAAAGTATCAATTATTATTATTATTATTATTATTATTATTATTATTATTATTATAAGGGTGCATGTCTGACGGACTCCCAGGCTACATGATACTTACAGACGGACTCCCCGGTACACTGCAAGAGAGACTACAGAAAAGAGTTTTCAGTCATTCAACACACCATCCACTTCAGTCTCTGACAAAGGCAGCCAAAACCTCAAAAAAAGTGACAAAGAAGAAATCTAATAAAACCATGCGAATGGCTAGGAATGCTGACAGTGTCGTCCGCAGCTGGGGACTTATATAGGCGAGTGGCGGTAAAGGGCCTGGTTTTTACCGCCGGATGCCACTACCGGGTTTGCAGACACGGAGAACGCTGACTAGTCGCAGAGTCAGGGAGAACGTACCATGCAGAGCCAAACTGGAATTTCCTGGCCCTGCTGGTCAAGGTAGAGACAGTTTACAATAAAAAAGAGCAGCCGTACCATTTCCTTTACACCAGTTTATAACCGACAAACTCTAGAGAAGCATCTCACAGGCAATACAGAAAACGGAGGGAATCCGCGTTGCATGTCATTAAGCACACTGATGCTCTGGGGCACATAAAACAGGGAGCCAAATCCCAAAAACATGCTTATAAGGGGTCCTAAAATAAAAACAAAAGCCACACAATGAAAATTAAAAGAGGAAAAACGCAAGGAGGAGTCTTTGAAAGCGTTGTATGTATTCCATACTGAAGCACTTCGAAATGGGCCTATAATATTCGAACGAGCAACACATTCTGCGCAACTACTGCATCAAGTTTTTATAGATTCCTAAAATAAATATTTCTGCAACCTACTGACAATTTCAGGAGTTCCTATGAGGGGAATACCAGCGAGATAATCCCCAGCGTCAGTTGAAAACGAGCAGCCTCACCTTAAGGCAAACAAAACCAGACACCGATTTTAAACCAGTTTTCCCTGGTTCGCTTCTATATCCAGTTTAAATCTTGACCAGCAGGTAGCCCCACATTTCAGGCGAGTGCTGCTTGAATATTTAGAGCCAACGTACACTATATCACATGTGAACCTCCACAAACATAACGGTCACGGTGCATTGACATTGAAAGTCATCAGAAGTCACTGGAGGCCATTTTCGGCAACTAATTCACAGGTAACACTCGAGTACGTTATTAAACAGTGTATGCAAAAATACTAATCTTATATTTGCCACATTTTCTTCTGCTAACAAGATGCCCTGACAGAATGTCAGTGACAATCACGCTAACGTGAGGACGACTTCCTCTCATTTGCTAGTTCTTCAGAGAGCAGAAAGACTAGACCACCAAAACCACGGTGAGTGGGTGTCATGTCACAGACCAAGGGCCACCAGGACTGAAAAAGGAACTACAAGTGCCACAGCGATAAGAAGCCCAATTTTCTCCACTTCTCTCCAACTGGGCATCCTTTTTTTTAAGAAGCCACCCAAAGCGATGTCCTTAACGTTCCCAAAACATGCAAGAATAAACCACCAGGAGCGCGTGTGTTTTGAAACCGAATCGGCGGTGCAGTTCCCAAAAATCACGCCTTGTGAAATGTCAGAATCCCACCGTGACACTATTTTCAGAATCATTATTCATATTTATGTCACAGGCTATAAATAAAGACGTCTGACCACACGAACAAACTGTAGCATACATCTGGGCTGACTAAATCAACTGGTGCTTCATAGTTCAGTTTTTGTGTGTTTTGTTTTTTTTTAACAGAACACTGTCAGCAATATCACTCATGTGAATATGAAAGGATGTAAGAGGTAGTATGATATTGTGAGGAACAACCTAAACGTTTAAAGGGGGGGTGAAGCCAAATTAAATACTGGGGTTATGCCCCACTGTTTCCTATGCTCCTGTAAATATGCCAACAAAATATGATAAATAATGGACATATATAACAACATTCAAAAAGACCCCAGCAATTATTCATTTAAAATTCCTCCATTTTCTCTAGTTTTCTAATACAATGTTTCCCTGTCTATGAAATGTGAGCAAGGTACTTTGGAAAAAACAGGACAGCACAACACCATATCTCCTCAGTGTGCCGTCTCATTCAAATCTACATGCAATGCGTTTCAAATGAACGACAAACTTATAAGGGGAAAACCTTTGTACGAGGTTGTAACGACGTTTGATAACTGCAAAAACGGAAGCAGAACCCTGTACACCTTCAATCTATCGTGCGTTTTAGCTACTTACTAAACGTTCATTTGAAGTTTTGATCGATTTCATTGGATCTTGCCTTTATACGACAATTGCAAACCGAGTTGTTCTTTAAAAGCTGATTGAATGTAGCTTCCCCAAACGTGTCCGTATAACTAAAATGTAACAACATACAGGTGTTAATATAAATATGCCGTTACAGGTGAAAAGTAACTATTGAGGCAGCAAGTGTGTGGCAACTGAAATGTACGAATCCACGACGCATCCCCTGGTAATTCAGAAAAGCTGCTTTATGTGGATTCATTTTCCACCTCCTTGTGTGATGGGTAGGATTTGATCGGAGGACTAAATACCCCCCATCAGTGTCACGGATTTAACAGTGTATCGGGAATTTAACAATGCATCAGGGACAATTATCTGCTATAAACAAGCCGCAAAAAGTCCATACCATACATGTTGGGAAAATAACATGTATGCCGGTTTATTTTTCAGAGTAAAACAGAATTCCCGGCTTCCTTGGGGCATTTAAATGTATGCCTGTCATCATCTTTTCGCCCTGGATCTGAACATTTATCCCTAGACCCCCACGTTTCGATCGCTACGCGCATTTTCCTTACGTTTCGACCCCAGTCGTTACACCACATTTCACGGCTACTGTTCGCTGTTAAGATGTAACTAAAGTGCGAATAACTGGCGAGCGGCGATCACTTGTAGAATCGATCTCCGTAAGTAATGGGGGCACAGCTTTGTGAGGCTGTCACGGATGGGCACGAAATCGGCTTTGCCTGGGCTTCAACTTTCTTTTGTCCTTATTAAATCGTGTGGCCTCGGCTGTAACTCCCGGACTTTGGGAGGCCGAAGGGGTTAACAGTAGGCTACGGATCGCAGGGACACTCCGGACCGATGAAAACGTGTGTGTTCCCCGTGTACAACAGCATGGATGCACGTCCGAATAACACACATTTAAGCGTGCACGACTACATTCCCATACTGCAGCAGAGGGCACCGCGAGTCCTTTCACCCACAACCCACCCCCCCTTTCAAACTGCACTTTTACGTGAAAAGATGACCTCCGGTGTGTAACTGCAGGGCCCAGGGTCGCCATACACACACACACATACACACAGACACATACAACAACACGCGCAGCATGCATACACCAGCAAGCGGAAAAAAGAAACATACAATAAGAAAACCCATACGTAATGCAATTCCTACAAGCCGTTCAAAAAGAAGCCTTCGTCCAAAAAAAAACCCCGATCAACTCGATTCATTTTAAACTTACGGCAACTGACCTGTTCGAGAGCACAACAGTCCGCTAGATATTGGGTTGAATCCGAGTTAAATGTACTTTCAGTAAAACAAAGAGGCGAAAATGTCCGGGCAATCCCGAAACAGACCGAGCAGCCACTCCGAGCGAACGGCTGCGCATGCGCGTGACAAGCAGCGCGGAGGTGGGGGCGCAATTGGGGAGGTGGAGACAAGCAAGCAGCGCTGTGTCTTACAGATCCCAGCACGTTTCCACTACTACTGATCAGGACCCCAAATCAACCGGAATACTATATTACACTTAATAGCGAAATTATTCTCACAGGCATTTACACATTTGTATATTTTTCGACACGTGATTAATGTCTTTTTATGCACCATAATTAATATGATTGACTTTGAAAAGTGGACGCAAAAATATGGAATATTTTAGTCGTACAATTAAATTTCAAATTAATTGTTAGACCGGAAACTTAAAAAAAAAAAATCTCGTTTTGATCTTTATAGTTATGTCTTTTTATAATTCTTCATGGCTTTGTATTTTAGTTCGATGAAGATTAATCAATGCAAACAACTGTTAAATGTCAAAAATCTCATTATAAGAGATAACCCTCATCCTACCCTAGATGACTAATGAGCTGATTTAACATCAGAGTTTTCACAGCAGCCCCATACAAGCGTTCTAATGTATAACATAAATCTATGATTATAGGAGGATGTGAGCATATTACATATGTCTGTGTAGATATCAGGGTTAGATTGGGATTAAAGATTGGAACTGCATTTTTTTTTCGGGGGCGTGGGGTGGGGGTTGTCAGGGTGGTAGCCCAGTGTGCCAGATGGCTAGTCCAGTCCTGGTAGATATCATATGCTGTTTTAAATATTATTTATATTTAACTGTTTGAGGTTATCCAATGTGGAAGCTAAGTGTTACTTTTTGTCAAATAGCAATTTAGCAATAAATAAAGTGTTGCATTTTAAATTTCATCTTGTGTTAAATATACTTTGTTGAGTACTTACATTGGGGGGCATGGTGTCTCAAATTAGTAATGTGCTATGAATCAATAAGAATTCAGAAGTGACTATAGAAAGCATATCAAATTGTACACAAAACCCTCCCATTTCTTTTAATATGCAAATAATTATTCAATAGTACCACATCGTGGACTGATATTAAAAAATTGAGAATAAATTTAATCTGTGACAACATTCCCCAAGTTAGAGACTGTGTGGATTTAAGTTAAAGCGTTTCACCTTTTGTGAGACGGTTAGACATAATGTGTTTGGAGCCCATTGGGTTTTTAAAAATATAAATAAAGTAATGTGCTATTTATCTTCAGTACTGCGTTTTTGGTCATTGGTAGCAAGTGGTGTAGTGATTAAAGAGCAAGCCTTTGTCATGGAAATGTTGCTGATTTATGCCTGGTGAGGGGTCTCAATGCTGTAGGTAGCTCGTTTGAAGCTGGTTTACAAAATACATCCAGCTGTATAAATGGGTGAATGTTTTTGCTGGGTAACGTGGTCTTTACCTAAACCTGCTCAGCTCCATACTTTCAGAACAATCCAGGTCAAGTACTCCCCTCAGGGGTCACATACCAGCTGTTAAACTTACAAACTTCAGATTAGCCCACGTTTTATTTTACTAGCACACTCTCTCGAGCACTCAGTGCTGACTGTGACTGTGCTTACCTTTGATAAGACGCCTTTTAGATTGCATTATGACACTTTGATAACGTAACCTGCATGTTTGTTTGGGCAGGTGAAATTCCGGCACGTTCAGGGCAGCATAAATGCTGGCTCCCCCTTCTTACAAATATTGCCATTAAAACAACAGTAGATTTACTGAGATATGAAATCTGTTAGCATTGTAGATAAGAGTCTTTCAGAGGCTGTTTAGGATTTGGAAACAATTCCTTTGTTATTGTTTTGCTTTCTTGATCCATATGAAGGAAATTCTGAATTAATTCTCCAAAAATGTATTGTAAGTTTCATAAAATGCATGGTGTGTGAGTGAATGGTGTGTGTGTGTGAATGGTGTGTGAGTGAATGGTGTGTGTGTGAATGGTGTGTGAGTGAATGGTGTGTGTGTGAATGGTGTGTGA